TCTTCGTCGCTCGCCAGCAGCCCTCATTACGATTATTGTCTGCCACAGAGGAAAACTCCCCCTGTCGGGAAACAACAACAACGCGTCTATTATTCGTCACCCCGCAATATTGCTGCCTCTCACTGTATATATACATCAGTAGCTTTTTGCACAAGCTACTGTACTGCGAAAATTATACGCAGTCCGGCCTCTTATTCTGCATGAAATGAAACTCATATGTGAATAAGTATAGACATTTTCTCTTGCTGTTTTAGTACTGTATAAAAATACAGGTGGACTCTCTCTCTACAATGAATTGCTGGGGACCAGAAAGACATTCGTTGTGGAGAGAAATTCGTTGTAGACAATCCCTATAGAAACACAGTACAACATTACATGTAATGGGTTATAAATTTAAAAGTTTGTATTCCTATATGCTGTATGTAAAGTGATTATCCATAAAAAAAACAGTCAATTAATAGAGCAACACCAGCCTAGCATCAAATATTTCAGCTTGTGCCAAAATTTTTGTAAAACTGATGAACAAAAAGAAAAAAGTCCCATGCACTGTAATTTTTTATGCATGCAGTAACAGTATCTGTATTCAAGCATTGGGACAAGACTTTGCAAGTTCAAATCCCAATAAATTTACTGCATGGTTTCTGCTTGTTTGGTTCTCTTCATTCAAAAATTGATGCACTCATCTCGGAGATTTTTTTTTTACCTGCGAGAGAATCGGGAAGGGAAGGCTGGGGTACACCAAAAAACCTGCAAGATGTGTTCCTCATTTTTGGAGTGAAGAGCCTGAAAGTTGCCACAGTGACTGTCACAAAAAATGGAAAAAATGTTTCAAACAATACTGGAGCATGCTAACAGGATTCTTATGTGAATGTACCAGAACTTTAAGCAAAGGTCTGATTTTTGCTGCAATGGAATTTCCTGGTTAACAGCATGCCAGGAACCCTGAACCTACCAAAAAAATCTGCAGCCTTCTTAACTGGGCCACCAATCAGGTTTTGTGTATAATCATTTAAGACTCCAACTGAGCTTCACAAGCACATCATCTATTCAACAGCCTCACACAACACAGTGACAAGATTACAATACGGAAGGTCCTTGTAGGTCAAAAGTCAAGAGTTGAATGTCACTTGATCAACCAGCTTTCTCCCATGCTCAGATCGTGGGATAACCATTCCTGTTCTGCCTGGGTGCATTGTACATTTTCTCCAATTCCGTCCCCTAGATGTCGCCCATTGCGGTAAGGAATTGTCCCCACTTCGTTCTTTTCCTCCCTCTCCTCCTCCACCCCCTCTGTAGCAAAGAAATTCGGTTTACTCCCCCGACTACCAGAGGGTTTATGCGCTCAGATACTGTCCTGCAACTCAGCATGTCCGTACCACATAAACTAAGTCTCTCCAAACAGGACTATACCTTATGTATATGCATACCTTGTTTTTGTTCGCTTTTTTCTACATTATTCAGACACTCAAAACAGAACGCGTGAATTATTTTAAATTTTGACAATAAGCAAACTGGTTTAATGCAAATTTTGTCTGGTTACCACAAAAATTGCATATACTAGTTTGGAATTTACAGAATATACTATACTTTATATAAACGCAACAGAAAGAATAAGCATATTCGGCTGTCTTCGCAGCCGCCACTTTGGTGGCTGTGAATGCGGCTGTTGATGAAAATGGCGGAATTGCCTTGGAAGATCTGGAGGTAACCCTTAGAAAGAATGCCACGTTGATTTCAAGAATTCTGAGGGGAAAGCTGGGCTACAACAACAAGAAATCTGCAGGAAGGGCGCCTCATCATTCGAGTGGAGAGCAAAACTCTGCTAGGGTGAATTTTGCAAAACATATTAAAACAAAGTGTCAATTAGGCTTGATTTTTTTTGGGCCGAAGAATATGTTTTCCCTAAAGAATAATTTTCTTCAACTCAATTGTATGACATCCTTTGAATGATTGCACAAACTTTTGTCAAGACCCTCGTATTAATGAATGTTCTTTGCATCTTGCTTCAGAAAATGTCGATAGAATCTGAACTTCTATCGTTCTGTTCAGTGCATCGCTAGCTTGAGGTGAATTTAAATTTAAATAGAATAAAAAGAATTTTTTCGAATTTGGACTTTCGTGTTTGAACTATCGTGTGGAACGTAATGCAAGAATACCATCAACATGAATAGCGCACAGGTCCCATGTGTTGGTGAGTTTGTCCAGGACAGTAGTGACAGGATGAACGATTTCGACTCGCCTTGGGTCTGTCATGGCGTCTGCTATCTCTACACACTCCTGGTATCTTATGCGTTTTGTACGGTTACATGGATGCTTGTGTGTGGACGGAGTGGCTTCAATCATTTTGTCCTTGATTATTTCACTCACGTATAATATAAACAGTGCAAAAAAATTTCTGTGATGTGTGAGAATTAGTCGTTGATGTATTTTCAAATTATTTCGTGGGTTTTGTCCAGTTTTTTTTCTATTTTGGCATTGTCAGAGCCCTTGTGCTGTAGTACTGAGTTTGTTCTACAGATGTCGCTGTCATCTCTGTGGGTTCTCTCTGCGTTCATAAAGTTCGTGATTACCACGTATGATCGTGTTTTTCAGTTTCAGTCCTTGTCCTCGAAGTGCTTGTGAACGATGAAAACGTGAACGGCGTGAAATTTTCCCTTGGGTCGAGGTCGGGCAAGTTGACGTGTAATCTCTTTCTTTCTGGCTTTGTGATGAAATTATTGTTGATCCCATGTGTTTCAGTGGGCTGTGTGCTTGCGCGGATCAGGAGCGATTCCGTATCGTTTCTCCTGTAAAAAAAAAAAGTCGAGCTTACCACATTGACGGAATTATTACGGGCCCCTCTTTCTTTTTCCGACGAACAATTGTGGAAAATTCGAATATGTCCGATACTCGATATATTTAAAGAAATGTCGCAGCATGAATATAATGTGTGGTCTGCATAAATACAGGACGTAACTTGAGATGATTGTCTAGATGGAAAGTGATCCGGATAACTCAAGATGAAGAAGGCACGTAGAAATCATGCCTCACGAAAGATACACGGAAATTCTCTTCGCCCCAGTTGTGTGGGGGTTAGCATATTGTGGCCGTTAGACAGACATAACACCTGTCTAAATCAGTTTTTATGTTATGTTTCTTATAAATATATGTTAATGATGCAATGTGATATTTATGAATACGAAGTTCTATGAAGTATCAGAGATGGACACGAGCGTGTCTCGTCAGCTGCATTTCACTTTCCAGTTGGACACAAACGAGGTATGGAGGTTTGAACTAGACACTCGAATTCCTTAATTGGTTTCGGTCGATTTGTATTTTCTTCGTAAACAACATTACGATTCCTATACGGATATGTTCCTTGACTTATTCCTTCAAGCGGCCCATGTGATGAATATGTTGTTGAACATGAATTTTTCGAATTATGTGGATCAAACAAATCACTCACGATCTCACAGATTATTATTATCATCCTTAAGACCCTTCCCTGTGTAATTCAGGTTTTTTTGTGATAAAATACTGAGTCAGGAAATGAAAGGAGAAGCAAATATTCAGGCAGTTCTGAATACTCGCGAATAACTCGCCGCCTTTGTGTGAAAAGAAAGAACTTCTTGTCGTTTCAGTTGCTCGAGGTTGCGCTTGTTAATTCCAGCGCTGTGATGCAATGATTTTTAAACCGTGAAAATTGAGCGTATATTGATTCGAAAGTGATTTTGTGGATTTAGAAAAACGCGGATTTAATTCGTGATAAAAAGAGAAGCTAGTGGAATAACAGCTTTTATGGGAATTCTTTCCGGATTTCTTGATGCAGAACGGATATATATTGTAGCTTGCCTCATGCAACTATTCTAATGTATTTTTTTTTAATAATTATTTTTATAATAAGTCGCATATGACGGAAGTACGTTTTCATGTTATACTGCTCAGAGAGGAATCAGCTGCTCGTCGTCGTGGCCTGTTTCACGCAAGAGAGCAATGCCCGAATTAAATTCTTGTGTCTTTTCCGTTCAGTTCCACCTGTGACTACCGCTTCACAATATTTTCTCCTTTCAACAAGATTATTTTTAGGGACTAAGATTCAAACTATAGGATATTTATGAACAGACCTCACTGACGTGCAGATTCATGTCTGTAATTCCGATAATGTTTCAGTTTTGTGCCCTCTGAACTTGGATTCGAAAGTTCGCGAGTTTTTTTTTGATGAGAGCGGTGGAAAATTCAGTGATGTCCAGTTGTCAACTTTCTGACTGCTACTAAAAAAGAAAATTCTATCAGACTCGGAATCTCTCACTTCGCCGATAGTCACGCGAATGAAATAAGTTTATTAAAATTCTGTTTTACAAGCATGATCACAGTACACCGGTTTTTACTGTGTTATGAAGTACCAATGTTTTGTTTAAGAGAAAAGCGGCTGAAATTATCTTAATAATTGCGTCATAGCATGTGTACATAGAGACTACAGTATAGGGAGCAACTATTTGTCCACAGTGTTGCGTAATCTGGTCCCGTAAAAATTCTTCGATAGGTCTCCTGAAGCAACATTTATAATTTCCTGTAGTATGAAAATCTTGCGTCAACTGTTAATTGGGAGCCATGTAAGCCTCAACTAGTACATTTGAAAATTGAAAACACGCATCCCGTGACCGAACTTGACATGTGTTACCTGGGATTTATTTAATTTGTCTCACACAGTTGACCCTGATAACTCAAATCTTTCTGTGTCGAATTTTTTTTCGAGCCCCTGTCGGAATTCTCTTGAAATGAAGGCATTGAAAACATTCCTCAAGTTAGAGGCCTTCCCTTCTGAAACCTCCATAATTCGAATTTTATGGAGGCCTTTTGTCTGTCTTTCAATTGATGCAGAAAAGAGAGAAGCAATTATAATATGACTTTGAGTTCTGAAAAACGGTGAAAGACCAAGTGGGCGCATGAACTCGTGCCTCCGAGTTCAGCATCCCGTCAACTTATTCAAGAAGCGATTTCATGTCCAGAATATTACCAATTAAAATTTTAAAACCCTTTTTTCTTTCCCCGAAAATATGCGTGTTTTCTCAACTCGAAACCTCCGTAACTGAAAACTTTTCTGCTGGTCCCTTGAAGTTTGACCTGAAGAGGTTTGACTGTAATGTGAGACATGTCCCCTTAGAATTATTCATGAATGATCCACACTGATGAGTTATTTTTATTGCACTACAGCGCATGTAATGATGGTTGGAAGAAATGTGCGAGGAGTGAATCCAATTAACGCCAAATCGTGAAACTGTTCTATAGAGTGATTATCAGATGTCGTTGCTGGAAATGCGTGGCGCACGAATTGCCTACGTCTTGGCAACCCCGAAAGTAGGATGCCGGATTTTTATTCACTGATTTAAAACGATCCGAATTTGCTCATCACTCCGCTCGGGTGTCCTTCATTAACGAGCCACCATTAAGCGAAATATTTGATAAGCAGTGTGAAAAAAGTGTTTTTTTCCCTTCAGGAAATGGTTTGATTGGCTCAAGAAGATTGAAAGTGCTCATGAAAATCGAATTCCTAACTATATAGAAATAGCCTAAGATCAAAGAAGGTCCCTGTAGAAAATTATTGAAACAAAATACTTCACAAAGCATATACCTTTGAAAAGAAGAAAGATTTAAAAATGACATACATTTTACGAAAGTTATGAGAATACTGTACTTTTTAAAAGCACGTCTGAAATGAGGATATAATGTGCTGTAATGCAGTCTTAGTTACAACAATTTCCCCAGTACAGTTTAAAAATTCTTTTATGTCCCATACGGGGTTCTTTCCCCATGTTATGCCAGGGTTCTTCAGAGCAAAATTCTCAGTACAATTATTTTTTTCCGGTCCAGTTCGTTGTAGAGAGCCCATCGGTTTATATATGCTAGCTTTCAGCACAAAGTATGTTCATTTTTACTTTGTAAAGGGTGCAAAGATTGAGATCTTTCACAAACATGCCACCACAAATGACAAGACTGAACCAATATGATGTTTACCTGCAGTTATGCTGCAATTATGCTGCAATTATTTTACACACCGTAAAATATTCTGAAATTTTGAAACAAATGCTTCAATTTGTGGAATCTACATTTCAGTTCCTATGGATATATCCAAGGAATTGCATGCGTTCTCTCCTACAGTCTCATAGATACTGACAATGAGGCACGCACGCTTGTCACTATACCACACGATCTAAGCAAGGGCTACCAAATACTGTATGAGCTTATTGCGACCTATATTTTTGGCCGTCTAGCTCGTTGTCCTCACCAATCCGGCTCGGTGACTCTCAGAAAGCTGGGGAGCGCGTCGTTGTCGATGAACTCCATGTCCGACATCATGGAACAAGGAATGTGTTTGATTTGCGCGTTTTGCTGTTACACGTTCTCGAAAATCGTAGCAACAGCGCGTAAAGCTGCCACAATGTTGAGAGATTCCATAGGCATGTCATGTTGGAGTGTTGTTATTACTTTTGCAGGTTTGTGGACTAGTGTCCAATCAACAGTGCGTATTCTACTCACGGTGTTTGCAGAGTCTCGATACATTCGGGCATGTTCAGTAAAAGTCGGAGACTGAACCATTTGTCATCATCAGCATGGCGATATTTTGGGTGGGAACCTGTCGAAGCCTGGGAAAGAACCATACGGTGAATTTTTTGGAAAGAACTCTGGCTCCTGGCGGAATCATGAAATGCGTCAATGTTTCGGCGTGTATTTTGATTCTTGCCCTTCAAATTTCGTGTGTGGCGGGACAAAATGACGGTGAGGATCTTGACAGAATATAAAATACAGCTTTGACAATTATGGGAATCTTATTTTCTTCCACAGCATTCATTCAAACTGACACTGAGCTTCGATATCTTGTGGATGGCATCTCTGTGCATATGCGTAGCGGGGTATGTACAGGCCACACTTCCACCAAAAATGTTCCCATGTTTGTGTCTGATGATTTGAATTTATGGTTTTCTTTCCATGCAGGCCTTCCCTGAGGAATCCGTTTCATTTGGGTATGGTTTGTTAGTGCATTTTTCTTGAATTTTAATACTCTTATCTGCTTGATTTCTTCCCCCCAGTTTTGCAGATTTGGAGGAAGAATCCTATCAAATATTTCCCTCTCCTGTGAAGTTTCATCCGCCTTCTGTGGATTTCGGCAAAGTGTAAGCTTTGAGAACCATGAAGTACAATTGAATTGTCGTGTAAACACGTGTTTTGATTTTGCAGCGCCCTTGGAGTCCCGAAAATTCAACGCATCATTTTGGAAAATCTCAGTGAAGATACAAATATCCAGATGTTGTCGATATCTTCGAATACCGTTCATTTCCATTGCTCCTTTTTTGAGGATAAGGTCTGTATTTAAGATTTGCATGTTTGTTTAGTTCTCGTCGCATGACTGAATTCTCTTTCATTTCTCAGTTCGTAACAGCGCATGGTAACACAAGCTTCGATGTGGTCTTCTTGGGGAGGTCCGAGGGTTTGGTAGAGAATTCGCTTTTCGTCCACACTTCCGTGGGATCTTTCAAGTATCAGGTGACACGGTTGGACTTCCGTTTTTGAATAAAGTCAAGCTAATTACTTTGTCTATTTTTTCAGATCAAGGCCATGAGTGTTCCAAATCCATATGGCCTGAAGCCTCTTGTTGGTGTTCGCATGCCGTTGAACTCCAGCTACTCTCCGACAATTGAATTACACAATCCGTACAATGAAACTTTGCAGGTCAGGTTTTGAAAGAATAATTGTTTTCATTGAAAATTTGTAAACATTGAGATTTGATTGATAGATAACGGAGATGTACTCAAGTGGCGGAGATCTGCACTTGGAGTTGCCAACGGGTTTAACGGAGGGTCCCCAAGCAGTTTGGGAAATTCCGCCGCACGAGACAAAGCGTGTGATGAAGGCCAACTTTGTTGCGCGCGTGGAGAACAATCACACGGCTTACATCCGAATCAAAATGAATTCCTCAGAGAAACTTGATCTCATAGTGCCCGTAGAAGTAGAAGTGAGTTCGCAACCCGGATTATACAGCCCGCAAGAGGTTCTTGACTTTGGCACCCTGAGAGCTGATCAGGACGTTGTCACGCAACAACTGTACTTGCTTGTCTCTTCACACAAGCCGATTTCCATCCAGGTTAAATTTTTTTGGTTTTGAATTTAATGGAGTTACATTTTTGCAATGACTTTGGTTCCGTAGAATGTTTTGGTTACGCCAGTAAACGAGGCTGTGAACATCACGTTTGAGCCAAAGCGGGTGTCTCCAGATACTTTGCAAGGGACTGTTGTTGCTGAAGTCATGTTTGATCGTGAGTACCTTTTCAGTACTTTTTGTGCTTCAGTTTTTGGAATTTTTGTCCTGCGGGCGTTGCTTGAATCTTGTAACCCATGCAAATTTGGCCAATTTAATGATAAAAAGCAACAAAATTAAATTGAAATGTTACTTTGTTATGATTATATTGGGTTCGCTTGCTTGCAGCGTCTAAGGTGTCAACGGATAAGCAGTTGTCGGGTAAGATCGTGGTGAAGTCAAAAAACAACCAGTTTAAAGTGACTGTGCCGTACCGAGCAAAGCTGCTACCAGGAAAATTGCGATTCAACTCCAACGCCTTGTATTTCCTTGCCGATGGCGGCAGAAGCAACAACACAAATCATACTCGGACATTTGAAGTTACTAATGAGTTCAACGTCCCGCTATTGATAAGAAACATCACTGCAGATCTGAACTTGCTTTTTCATTTTGAGGTTAGTCTTGGTGATATTTATTTGTTTTTTTCAGAGAATTTTTATTTATTGCGCATAAATATGCGTTTGTGTGTGTGCTTGAGCAGGTGGAAAGTTTTTTGCCGCTGGTGTTGGCGCCGAACGAAACCGGCGCCATTTTCAAGTTGTCCATGAGAAACCGCACCGCTGACTTGCAACTTTCAGGACATTTGTTTCTGAAAACGAATGCTTCAGAATTCCGTTTCGAAGTTCTTTGTTACAACGGCCAGCTTGTCCCGGTGAGTCATAGCGTTGTCGTCGATCGATGAAAGTGCTTATGCGTGTAGTAGGGGGGGGGGGGGGGGGGGGGGGGGGGCGGAAATACCAGAGTTGAAAGCTCATTCATAAAACGGTATTTTGACTCCATATACAGTACTAATTTTTCTTGACGTCACGTAACATTCTTGAACTGCGCAAGCCGAAAAAAATGTTGACAATTCTCGTGCTCGATGAATACATTTCCATGCCACATCCTGAGTTCAAAGAAATTTAACAGCTCATCTGAATATACTATGATGATGTGATGCGCTTCTCTTTGAAAAATAAGCCCAACGCTGTGCGAAAAAAGTATTTCGCAGTGTTGGATTTGCCTATCTAAAATTTGTCAAATTAATGAGATATCGGTGCTACACGATGACTATTTTGGAATATTTTCGAGTGACCCGTGCACGATCGAGTCTGTTGAAAAATTCCAATAATATAGCGTATCATTGGATGCAAAACGACGCCAATTCATGGACAGTATTCCGCAGTATTTTCTTGATGGCAGTAAAACAGTTCCAGCAATTTATGTCTCAAATGCAGGTCAAGATTATTATTTTTTTTTGAGTGCGGCATTGATTCTACTTTGCCACCTCTGATTCGTACGTCGCGTGACGACAACTTTCAGATGGTCGACATCACGTTTTTCCCTGAATGTTTTCGAGTGACCCTTGAAGCCTGCTGCAGAGTTTAGACGACAATGTCCTTGTTGACGTCAGTGACACACGTACGTGGAATAGCGACAGAGAGAAAGATCGAGAGGAAGAGAGAGAGAGAAAATCATCGTATATCCTATAGCTTTGATCACACCACAGGGAGGAACAAGCGCCGCGGGTTTCGTATATTGCTTTCGGATATCCTTCCTTCGTAAGATGATTGATACGCGGTTGAAGGCTCGAGATCCCCGAGCCAGGCAATATAACTTCTTCTCTGGTCGCTCTTCACTCTTCTGTCAAGGACGCACTGACGTGACGCGAACGAGTTTATTGGCGGCGTTTTCCGGAGGAAAAATGACGAGAGTTGTCGCTGATGGTGTTAGTGCATGGCTGGTCTTGGCTTTGACTTCTGAAGCGGCGAATCTAACGCTTTTTATCCGCGTTTAATCGTTTGGCGAATTATTTAGATGGATATGTTCTATAAAAATCTGTGCCTCGTCGCGGAACCCTTATGAATATAGGAGTCAACTCCTGGAAAGAGTTATTACAAAGTTTTCAAGTTGAAGAACGTTTTTTTGAGAAGTGGTTCCGACAAGAAGAAACGAAGAATTTGACGAAGAATATGATTCAAGAGACAAGAGATAAAGACTCGAACTTTACATTATTTTGTTATGAAATAAAGAAGTTTAGGACACATGCATTGTTTCCAAAAGGATTTTAATATTTTTTATCAATTTTGAAAAGGATTTTTGCCTTGTGCAGATTGACTTGAGCTTTATAGATCACGAGAATCAGAAACTCCAAAAGTTTATTCAACGGTTCAAAATTGCAAAAGATGTCGAAAACAGTACTACAGTAAACAATGTCTCTTAAACTTTATATTTTTGGACAGTCAGAGCATAATCTCAACATTTGAAATGGCAGTAACGGCTTGTTGCCTCCTTTTCGAAATTTTAGGCTTTTGGATTGATTAATTTCAAAATAATTTAAGTGCTCATGCTGTTTACATCATTTTCAACTGCTGTAGAGTAATTTTTGGAAATTTTGTAATGATTGCAGTTTATTTTCATAAATTAATCTCAAGTTTTTGATGATGATTTTACTCAGCCACGGCGCAGACATTTTCAAAGGTTGAAAATATACGAAATTCATGCAGTAGAAGAAAATATACAGAAAAGTTCAGCCCAGTACTTGACTTCACATCGTCAACTTTTTTTCAAATCAAGTTGCATGCTGTGCAATATCAAACTTGTGATTTCCGAAAAATGAATTTGAATTTACAATTGTCTCTCGAATACCTACGATATTTCGATTTGATTTTTTTAAGAAGAACCCAGTTCCATTTTTTCTGTTATGATGATATCTCAAATACAGTTATTTGTTTCAAGTTCCCATGTTGCTAAGGTCCGAATAAACGTTGACGCGATTTTTGTTTTCGGCAGAAGCAGCTGACGGGAATTTCGAAGCGGTGTTCGGTGAACAAATGCGCAGGCTGGCGAAAAATGGCACGCTATTTTTCCCGTCTTCCCAAAAATCACAGCAAGGTTTATACTCCTGCGAGGTCAACAACGGAGTTGGAATTGGCCTGACGAAGATTGCTGCGCTGACGGTCAACGGTGAGAATTTAATTTTTGCCAGCAGAAGAATAAAGCTGAGGAAGACACTCCTTGCAATCACTAATGTACAATATTTCGTCTATAACGATTTTCTGCGTAGAAGGAATTACTTTCGTCTCATCCGGGGTCTCCATGCATGCAATCTAATAGAGGTTATCTTCAACAAAATTCTCTCTACATGGGCCTTTTTACATTTTTTTCTGGTCCTCATCAAATTTCGTCGTAGACAGCCTAGCTGATCCACAGAAAAATCTTTAATGATTCAACAAATGAATCATTAAAATATTCCACTGGTTATTGGATATTCTGTGCTTTTGGTATATGATTTCCTGTTCATCTTCAATGTTTTCGCACAACTTTGAAAAGAAGAATTTCGTTCTTAGTTGAAACGTCAGGAAAAATATAAGACGTGTCCCCCTCAACTTAGAATTATTGCAAAATAAGGAAACGATTTTTTAAAATTCATTCTACAGGAGGCATAAGAAACTGAGGATAGCTCATTTAGGATGTGCAGAAAGATATACTGAATGGGCAAATCGAATATTCAATGTTTCTTTTTTGCTAGGTGAAACATTCATGGGTTCTCTGAGTCTTTGGCAGACAATTTCACGTTCATTTCATGGTTTTAATTTGCTCGCTTCGAAACGGCACAAAAATATATATTTAAGCTTCAGTCCCCGCAATCTAGCATTATTGCAAAATAAGGAAGCGAATCTATAATAATATGTGCCACAGGAAGCAAATAAAACTGAGCAGGACGGTATTCACCATTCATTGGACAAATAATGTTTTCAACTCTTTTTTTCATACCGAGTGAAACATTGATGGGTTGTCTGCGTCCTTGGTTGACGATTTATCGTTCATTTTCTGGGTTAATTTGTTGCGCTTAAAAAATTGACTTTGTGAAAAAATAAACGACTGAAAAATGAGAATGGAAGCAAAAAAACTGAGGACAACAGTATATACCGTATTCACTATTATTAATTGGACAAATAATGTTTTCGACATTTTGTTTTTATATACCGAGAGAACCATTCATGGGTTGTCTGCGTCTTTGGCACACGATTCCCCGTTGATTTTCTGGGTTCAATTTGTTTGCTCAGTACCCGTTTATTTCGGGGAGACGGCGGTGGAGCAATGGATCAGGAACGGGTCGGACGTTACGCTGCAGTGCTCGGCTGACGGCGACCCGCCAATAAATCTTGGCTGGGAGCGGAACGGGCTCGGCGTCTCCAAGATCCTACATCAGAGCAGGTGAGTCATTTCCATATGCTCTTCTTCTGCTTCTTCNCTCGGCTGACGGCGACCCGCCAATAAATCTTGGCTGGGAGCGGAACGGGCTCGGCGTCTCCAAGATCCTACATCAGAGCAGGTGAGTCATTTCCATATGCTCTTCTTCTGCTTCTTCTTCTTTATACCCTCATTGTGTTGTTGTTGCATTGATTACTATACGACATGCCCGACATACTGTCTTAGACACATGCCCATGTTGAGGGGACCGACATTTCCGCCCCGCCTGCGATGTACTTTGTTCGTGCCTCGGTTTTGCTTGCGGTATACGAACAGCATGGGTGCTGGTGTAACCCTTTTCTGATGACCACCAATGAATATCTGTCCCGAAGCTATTATTGCCTGGGTTCAGGGACAAATTTGTTCTGATGCATGAAGGGCATAGTACTGTATATTTCAATTTCTTTCGCAAGAATTTTTGCAAATAACCAAAATGTGTTGCAACCCATGTAGGCTTTTATTAGATTGGTTTCACGAGTATTCAGTCAATTAAAAATGCCGTCAGAGAAAAAGAATAGCCCCCATTCGAATGAACGCTTTCAAGTCATTGGAAATATATACGTAGGGGCACTAGGGGGTGACTGGAAATTTAAATGTTTTACAGGTGCCTGCTGACCTGGAGAATCTTTAGTAGCAGTTGCAGCTGACAAAAATAAATACTGTATTAATCTAACATAGCCTAAACATCACGAACGACCCAAGGATACTCCCGCAAGGATACTCCCCACCAAGAAGAATAAATGTTGTAGGAATGTCATGGTATTTTCAACTATACAGTTGTTTTGAAGCAGCATATTTTTACTTCGAGTGTATGCTATTCAGTTAATGACGAATAGTTCTAGCATAAAAATTTGTTCAGACATTTCACATCGCACAGTATGGGGAAGAAGAGTGTGAGCAGTTTTCTGTAGATGTTATTGAAGTGAAACTGATCGAAAATAGACCAGTGTAGACGGACTCGAATGCAAACAATCTGCAACTCCTTCGTTTGTATTTAGAGGCAGGTATTTAGAGGCAGGCTGCTGAGTGAAGTTCCAACTGACTATATATAGTTGGACGACTAGATACCGTGCGTTGTTTCCTCCGACCTGCTTAATTGTACATGATCGTTTAATGAACGTGTTGACGCAGACAAAAGGAAAATAAATTTTACTTTATTCAGTAAATGGTGTCAAACTGCAAAAGGTGAGTGGAGGCGCCGGGTATCGATCCCGGTACCTCTCGCATGCTAAGCGAGCGCTCTACCATCTGAGCTACGCCCCCTTCGTGATATTACGCCCTGGAACATTTCTCCAAGAAATTTCAGCAATACATTTTGCAAAAAAATCGACCACACTTCTGCTAGAAAATTCGAGATATTCGAATTCCAAAAACATGGGTGCACTTTATTCAGTAAATGGTGTCAAACTGCAAAAGTTATGTGGAGGCGCCGGGTATCGATCCCGGTACCTCTCGCATGCTAAGCGAGCGCTCTACCATCTGAGCTACGCCCCCTTGATAAAATTATGCTCTGGAACATTTCTTGAAGTAATTTCAGCAATACATTTTGCAAAAAAATCGACTACACAACTGCAAGTACATTTGAGATACTCGAATTCCAAAAACGTCGGTGGAGTGGAGAGGCTAACGAATTTTATTTGTGTGCTGGTTCAGATTTCACTTCACAGTATGTCATAAAAGCAGAGGTCCATTACAATAAAAGCCACTGCTGTGCTTTTTAATGTGATATAATTTTGTTTCAACAAATCGTGATATAAAAAATAACTTTTTACATCACATATTTTGGTATGCCCCTGTCCCAACCACAAATTCGTTTTATAGCATAACCTTTTCCCGGTTCCAAAATCTTTGTCTGAGAATATTATAGTTTAATAAAATGTTTCTGAAATTTGAATATTTCTTTGATACGTGTAGCTACATAAAAAATCATCCAACCTTTCATATATGAGACCTTCAACATGAAAAGCACAAATATTGAACAGTACTTGGTACAGTATTCTCTTCTTCATCAAAACTGTTGCCTAGCTATTCGTACGACAAGGCGAGATGATTCAAATGGTAAACACGCATCAGACCTCAGAAAATATGCGTAGGTACGGCATTTGATAGAAGTATACAAGAGATGATAGATG